ACTCGATTAATTAATCAGTTTTAATTTATCGACAAGGAATTAGTTTGAACATATTATCCATAATTTTTTAACTATAAAAAGTAAATAAAAAGATATTCTTTTTAGAAATTTTTTCTATAGATACATAATATAAAACAAAGTAGATAGGATACAAATACATTAATATATAAAATAATACTGACAATATATAAGGAAAAAATAATTTGGATTAGAAAATATCGAGTATAGTTGTTATTTCAACAAATTTTAGTGTAACACACCAAATTTCTATAATGATAAGATGGTAATTTTAACAGGGTACATTCAAAACTATACTATAAAAAATAAAAAATAAAATAAAAAATAAAAAATAAAAAAAACCTGAAATAACATAGTTTGACCCAAATAATACCTAGAGGGAGAGATGAATAAGTGTTTATGCGAAATTTTAAGTACTCAATTAATAAATACAACAAGGCAAAGTTATTAATTTAGGAGTAATTAGCACAAAACGTTCCTACATTTCGATGTTTTTGTGGGAAACATCCCTACTTTTCATTTTTTAGTGGATTACACTCTCATCTTTACCTTTTTTTTTGTGCAAAACGTCTTTCTGTCAACTTTCCGTTAAAATGTTTCGTTAAATCAAAATGTAATTAGCACAAAAGGCCCCTAATTTTCACTATTATTGTGCAAAACATCCATACTTTTCATTTTTTTGGCATAATTAGCACAAAAGGTCCCTACCTTTCAATAATATTGTACAAAACGTCCATACCTTTCATTTTTTAGCATTTTCACCCCCTACCTTTCACATTTCATTGCAAAAAGGGCCCTTCTCATCCATTTTTTCAATAAAATGACGATTTTATCCTCCTATTCAAATAAAACAAAAAGAAAAGATGAATTACCAACTGCAACCATAGTCCTTAAATTTTTAAAAAATTACAAAGAAATCATAAATTCTCAACTAACACCACTTTCACAACTTATCAGGCTGCCAACTATAAATCAACATAACACCACCTTTCGGCCTCCATGCACTCCACCACCTTAAATGTGGTTGTTTCGAACAGATTGGTGACCAATACTATGGAGGATATTAGGGAGAGTGAGGTGAGGCTGGTGGTGGTGGAGTCCGATAGGTGTTGTAGTCGAAAGGTGGTGCTATATGGATCTATAGGTGGTGGCTTGGTGGGGTTGTGAAAGTGGCAGTAGTGGAGAATTTAGGATTTATCTGTAATGTTTTGAAATATTTAAGACTATGATTGCAATTAATTAATTATTTATTTTTCTTTTCTTTTCTTTTTGTGTTATTTGAATAGGAGGGTAAAATCGTCATTTTATTGAAAAAATGGATGAAGAGGACCTTTTGCGCAATGAAAGGTGAAAGGTAAGGGTGAAAATGCTAAAAATGAAAGGTATGGACGTTTTGCACAAAACATTAAAATGTAGGGACCTTTTGGGCTAATTATGCTAAAAATGAAATATATGGACGTTTTGCACAATAACATTGAAAGATAGGGACCTTTTGTACTAATTACCTTTTGATTTAACGGAACATTTTAACAGAGAGTTGACAGAAGGACGTTTTGAGCAAAAAAAGGTAAAGGTGAGGGTATAATCCGCCAAAAAAGAAAGGTAGGGATGTTTTCTACAAAAACAACGAAAGGTAGGGACGTTTTGTGCTAATTACCCTTAATTTAGTCCAGATTCATTCACATATATTACTACCATCTGTTGAACTGTCACAAAATGAGAAATAACTAAAAATTAAACAAAACACAATAATTTGATGATGGAGAAAACCCTTACGAGATAAAAAATTCCAAGCCGAAGCTAGTATTAATCCACTATAAACAAAAAAATCAACTTACAGTCTGTCGTACTCAACCAACTCAAGTTTTTCCTGACCTCCTAACTGTTATACCCCAAAGCCCTCCTGGAATGCGTACTCCTGCACCAACTCCTGGCTCTAGATTTTGTCTATATCCTGTGGATTCCAAAGAACTCTCGTTGTCCAATGATCAAACCTTCGATCTCTTCTCCTGATTTTTAACTCTTGACAGATGCTTTGGAATGACAGGTTTTTGGTTGATGGATGTGAATTTGATGTTTTGAATGAGTGCACCAACAAGATAGTGGTGTTGAATTAATGCAGTAAAGTGTAGGAAGTGTTCTTTTTCTTCAATCCTTTGAAAAACCAAAGAATACGATGCACTAGAATATATAGGACATGTTCCGGGTAGTGGGTCAGGTCAAAATCTCGAAAATCACAAAATAGTATTTTTTCCATATAGCACCATTGCTCGAGGGAAAAACTAGCGAAAAGTTAGCGATGCTGTTTTGCTCAAGCAAGGCAGTGGCGATAAGTTGACGACGAGGTTTTTGTTTTTTACGCTCGAGCAATCTCCTGGCGAGTAGCTAGCGAAACTTTGACGACTCTTCTTTCCTTTTTCTGAGATTCAAACCCTAACATGCTTTTACAAAATTACAATAAAGTCCCTAAATTTTAAACATATACAAATTGACCCTTGAACTTTAAACATGGACAATTTGACCCTCATTTTTGATCACATACAATCAGAGCCAGACCTGAGCATAGGCTCAACAGGCCACTGCCTCAGGCCCAGCTCTTCAAGGGGGCCCAAATTTTTTTTTCCACTTTTTTTTTTTTTGGTAAAACCCACTAATTAACGTAAAAAAATCATCCCATAATTGAAATGTTTTGTAAATGTCTTTTACATTAAGTTTTTAGTTATCAATTTGTTGTATAGTATACCGTTGGATTTTGATTTACGTTGATTTTGGGGGCCCAATTTATGGAGTTCGCCTTGGGCCCCCACGATTACAGGACTGACCCTGCATACAATTTGATCCTTTTGTTTACAGAATTGCCAACTCAAAACCTAACAAAAACTATTTCAAACTCCTCCAAAACCTTTATTTTATTATTTCTAAATTTTTATTTTTTCACAAAAAAATACTATTTACAAGATATAACACGTGATACACTTTGTTAAGCACATTCCATAGGTATTATAATCACTATTGTTGCTTTTTTCCACCATTACCCCGTCATCCCATTACCACCAATATACATCATCACAATATCAAAAATCACCACAAAATCCGTCATAATCAACATGAACATCATAAACCCTATCCTATCCCACAACATAAAAAACCACCTTAAGAAGACATCATCATGAACCCTATCCTATCCAAGAATGTTAGTGAGTTAAGGCGGTCGTTGAAGATTGGACCGTCAACCATTGTAATAGCGAGATTGTTTATTAATATTTATTTTACTTACTTTTAATTCTTGACAAAACATATAAGGATCGTTGAACTCACAAGAGATCCAATTTATTTAGATTATCCTCTACTAATGCCCAACATGATAGGTAGATAGTTGTGAAGTATTGAAAATCAAACTCTTTTTGAGCATTATAAAGTACTCATCAAGTTATTCACATGTCAATAACTATCTCGATTTCTTTATTTTTCTTTTTTTTTTAAAAGCCTTTCACCACCAGACGTACTATCTTAACTCCTTCATACAAGGTGTAATAATCAGACAATGAACAAATGATATAAAACAGGGAAGGAAAAAACTACATATATTTCTAAAATCTAAAGCCAATCGCATATGTAACATCCATATTATAATAAGATTTCATAGTAAAATGAAACAATTTGAATTGAATTTTCCAATAAAATGTAAGCCAAATACCCCTAATGCATAATTCTTGATTTCATAATTCTTACAAATGGAATTCATACCTTAAGTCCAAATTCTTCATTATAAGATATTGTTACTTCATAGCAGGTACTTCTATATTAAAACTCATCTATATAATCCATTAATAAACCCCAAATCACAAATTATTATTACAATTTTAATAAATGACAGATTCACAAATCATGAAGAATTTTGCCTGTTCACATGGCTTGTACAGGCCACTCACATGCCTAGTTGGGTAGGTGATTATTTAAGGGAAAAAAAATTACCCACACCTCATGCATTGTGAGTGGTTGTACAGGCCCGTGAAAAGAGTTCAATCATGAATCCCAAATAACAAATTATCACAAATTCACAATACTAAATCTGTAAATCACCAATCAATCGTAAAAATGCAGTAAAAGCATAAAATAAAAATAAGGAAAGAGAGGATTCACAAGTCACATGCGTCAGCAGCACTCAGGAGGACTCCGGAGTGGGATTGATGGACGACAGCGGCTAGAGTTGAAGAAAGCTATACACAATTTGAGAAAAAAAGACAGAAGTGGGAGGGAGAGAGGGATATTCGAATTCAGATGGGGCAGCATTTAAGGGGCTGTTTGTTGGCCATTAATGAATTATTTGACCGTTGCAAATAATTTATCTGACAACCCATGTGACTACCTCAGAACATTTATCTTTACCCTTTCCATTTCTTGCCCTTACCCACCAAAGAAACACGCAAGCCCTCTCCACTTAGCGCTGACCATCAATAGACCCACAACGGCCGACGACGGACTGAAATTTACAGTGGAATATCTTCAATTGCAACAGCCAGGGGACAAGACTTCCATTTTTTCGAAGACCCGGACAGTTTTATTCCACACAAGCACCAAGGAGAACGCCGCCCAATAATTCCAGTCGCCCGTCCGGTTAGCTACGTCCTCCACACCTGCAACGCTGCCGACCAAATGGATCCCGCCCACACACTGGTACGTCGTCAAACTCGAACATTTCTGATTCCGTGTACTTTTTCGTAAAACTACAAATTACCTGAACATTAGGATTCAATTGTTTCTAGTGTATTTCTTAAATTGTAATTATATGTAGTAATCAACTTCGTTAGATGTTTCTCACTATGATTTTGGGCAAAATTGATATTGTGGCAAGTTGAAATGCACCTTCCTCTTGGGTCGCATCTGAACTGCTATATGCATTGGGCTACCCTTTTTTTTGAAGTATTATTTTTGCCGTATACTCTTCTACGAAATCTGTCCCTTGAACTATACTGCCATAAATGGAGACTACCATGTTTTATGCAAGTTCTGGAAGATAGTCTTGGTTACACCCTTGTGCTTGTGCTCTCTGCATTCCCTTTTAAATGATAGCATCGTTTATTCATCTGTGACTGTGTTATTTCTGTTAGCTACCCTGTTGAAGTATAGCATTACTAGTGATGATGAAAACAAAGTGTGTAGCTTAGCTATTGTGTTTTCACGATTCAAACATGACATTCTTCACAAAAACATTCTGCGGGTGCACATGTGCTCAAGGTGAACTATTCCTACAGTAATACAATTCCTGTACGAAATGCATCCATTGTTTCAAAATAAGACATCTACACAACCTCATTTACGTGTACTTTTTTTGTCAAATTTCAAAATTTTAATCTGTAGATATTTTACAATCTTTCAATTCGTATAATGAATATTCTGCAATATTCTCATTCGTGATGCCCCGCTTGACTTTGCAATCTGGACATGGTCTGCTACCCAGCTCGTTCGTTGCACAGGAGCTGGGTCAAGCCTTAGGTTCAAAATCTTATGCTCGGTGAAATGCCTTGGAGACCCAAACATTCATTGCGGCCTGCGAAGCTGCCATTGCCGAGGGCCATCGCAGCCGTCGTTGTTTTACGAAACAAGGCTGGGCCCGAATCTCCATGCTGTTCAACTCAGCCACTGGGCACAATTGGACAAAGCAACAACTATGCAACCATTGGGACGTCATGCGTCGAACATATCGACGTCTCTCCAATCTGTTAATGGGTAGTGGAGTCGAGTACAACGCATCCATCGATCGAGTCATCACATCAGAGGAATGGTGGAACAGAAAGATAAGGGTAATTGTTTCAATTAGCAGCACACATATTTCACAATGTCGAGCCAACTATCCCGTTCATTATTTTTCGGTACATTTGGAATGCCTTTTTTCTTATCTTTCCTCTTTTTGTGTGCCTTTTTTCGCAGGAGAATAAAGACTACAAGGAGTTCAAAGACAAGGACATGAGCGAGATATACATACACTATCGTCCACTTTTCGACGACAGTTACGATGGGGAGAAGTACGCGGTCACGCCGACTAAGTTGTGCCGAACGGGGTTCGGGCTGTTTGAGGACAGTGCGCTCGAAGACAATCAGGATGCAATCCTCGTCGACGAGGAAAGTAGTGGTTCAAGTGATGAGGCTGAGCAATGCTTGGTGGATCCCGCATAAACGTATCCGACACCACAAGCGGTGATAAAAGGAAGTCCTCCGATGCGACGCGACACGAGGGGATAAGAAGAAAAAAAATCTGCACACGAGCTGTCATTCTCCGTCGACCGAGCCACAAGTGCTACGGAGGAAGTGATGGCGAAGCTTAATACCATGATGGGCTCAAATGACAACACCGGCACTGCTTGTATAGAGGAGCTACTGGCGGTTGGACGGCTCGAACGGCGTACACCGCTATACTTTTTCGCCTTGCTATTCTGGCTCAAAAGCACTATCGAGTCATGTTCGCCGTTATGAAAGATGCGGATGAAAAATTTGAATGGATTGAGTGGCTTTTCAATGAGCGGGACAAGTAATTTCACCTTTGACTGTAGGCGTTAGATGTACTTATGTGTTGTCCCAAAAAACTTTTTATCTTTTGTATTCAACTGTCTGTACCCGTTGAACCCTACTGTTTGAAAATGTGATGCGTGCCTTGATGTGCAAACCATTTTCGCTTGTTCACCACGATCATTTTATCATGTTAATATTTTACTTGTCCAACGAGGCAATTGTAGGTCGAACTGGATGTAACATGATATTTTTCACGATCTGTGCTTGCAAAGTTACCAAGTTTGCACGCGAAAATTTTGGACGTTAAAAAAACTGTTGACACTAAAAACTTGTGGAAATTGAAAAATTGTCACGAAAAGTTAGCAAAAAAATATTTGTTCAAAGCAAAAATCTTTTGTACAAAAATGCACGTTTCACGAATAAATATTCTTTGCAGGTGAACCATTATTGGCACATTTCATACAACATGACAGCTACAGTACACTATTGCACAGAATCTCGTGAATATTTTTTGTAAGTGCACTATTATTGATACAGTTCCTACAAATTGACAGCTACAGTACACCATTGTACAGAATGTACTCCCAATCATTCCCACTTTCTATAAAAAGCCATGCACTGAGTAGGAAAGAAAAAAATGTGGAGCTGTGAGGGTGTGTGACGAAATTGCGTTCTACACAACTCCAGAACTCGCTTTTGTTGTGTAATTTTAGTAACTTATCATGTTTTGCTTTACAAATGACTTCAACTTCAATTGTGTTCTACTACTGGGGTCCGACTCAGATGACAAATGCGATGAAGACCAGTTTCTCTACAACTTGGCGATCGATGCAGCCGTTTGGCTTTCATACTGCAGAATCGCCGGCGATGACGCAAGAAAATATCACTACAGGCAACAGCGTCGTATATGACGTTTTCCTTTCTCAAGAAACGGTCACATGTTCATGATAGAGGCAATGGACGAGAATAGTAAGATGTGCTTTCAAGAATTCCGTATGTATCCTGCAATGCTTCGACATTTCACTCATGTGTTGCACAACGAGCATGGGCCATGTAGCAACTAGCATGTTGACATCTACGAGCAAGTTGGCATGTTCTTATGCATATTAGCGCACGGGAAGGATATTGACAGGTGACAACGATTTTCAACTATTCATTGGAAACTGTATGTCACTATGTTAAAGAGGTTCTACGTGCGGTTGTTGCGCTTTCAACGCGCCTGATTCGTCCTAGTGAGAACTACAACGACGGTGTCGAGCCACATAGGCTAGATTTAAGCAAGTATCCATTGTTCGAAGATTGCATCGGAGCTATTGACGGAACGCATGTAAAAGCTGTGCTACCGCGACATGAGCGTGTGAACTTCATAGGGCGAAAAGGTGTGCCGACACAGAATGTGCTGGCTGCTTGTGATTTTAATTTATGCTTCACGTTTATGCTTGCAGGGTACTTTGGCAATACACATGATGCGCTCTTGCTTGCACGTGCTATTCATGATCCGAAAATACATTTTCCATTATCGGCTCCGGGAAAGTACTATTTAGTTGATTCCGGTTTGCTCATCGTCCTGGGTATATGGCCCCCTACAAAGGGTCTAACATACTTTACCATTTCTAGCAGTTTCGAGACGAGAGAACAGGACGTCATCGTAGATTTTGAAATGCACGAGAGAAATTTAACTTCCAGCACTCGTCCTATAGAAATGTCATTGAACGTGCATTCGGTGTGTGAAAAGAAAGATGGAAGATCTTGGATCGCATGCCCAGCTACCCCTTCCCAACGCAAGTAGCCATTGTGGTTGCGACGATAAGGATACATAATTTCATGCGACGTTTAGGAGTGGTGGACGCGACATTCACGAGAGCGGAGATGGATGAAGATGCAGCTGAGGTGGAGCTTCCCAACGTAGAAGATGAAATGCAGGCCGAAATACATGCACCGGAAATACAATGAAGTGAGTGAGACAGACTTCGAGATTATATGGCGCAGCAGCCATGATGCCAATATGTTTCTAAAATATTCTAAAGCCTTGCATGTACGTCATATGAAACTGTTTGCTTTCCTGGTTGTAAAAGTGCAATGCAATAGGGGCCAATTATTGACCATCTTTCACGAAAATATCACAGGTCCAAGTATTTTCCTTTTTTAACGTGTTTACGGTATGCATTTTCTCGGTACAATGAACTATAATTTTTTCCCCCGAACCTACACAGTTGTACAGTGTTTCGTACAAATAATTATGCACTTGAAGTCGTATTTTTCCTTCATTTCGAACACACCCTTAACTTTACTCTTCGCCAAAAATGTTCACCGTGCACTACCCTTTTTTTGTACGTAGTGCTTCGTAATAGAATTAAAATGCTTCTATTCGTAGACACTCTCGAGCGTAGTTGATACAATAAAATGTTTCCAAATCGAACTTTTTTAATTTTCCGAAGTTACTTTTTTTGAAAACATAACCCGTTTTCGTACAAAACATTTTATTATTTACAACGAACATATAAGCTAAAATATGTGTACAACTGAATTTCAAGATGTTATTTATCATTTTTAATTTTCCACATTTCTTTGGAAAAATTCGATAATTAAAGTGAAGTGAACATCACGGTCCGCATGCACATTACGTTGTCGTGATGTTACAATTGCTGTCGAATTTTTGTGACAATTTTTTATAGCAATACGGTGGGCAACCACGGGGGTGGAATGATAAAACAGTGGCCCATTTCATGTAAAAGAATTGGAAAACGTTTGGTGGGGGTGTGTTATGAATTCTTGGGAAATGTGTAACAAATTCAATTATTTGACTTTTCAAGAGGTGGAATCTGCCAACTTGTTGAACACAGGACAAAGGATAAAGTTGGAAATTTAGGATTTTTGAATTCAAATCAAATGATAAAATAATCTGTAGGTCCCACATTGATTTGATGGAAAAAAATGCATTTTAGATTAAAAAAAAATGGAGACCAAACGGGGGCTAAGTAAGCATATTATACATACAGACAAAAGACCTTTGGGCCAATTGCTTTAAACTCCTATAAAATAAAAGGCCCAATAGGCCCACTATCTAAAAAAATTGGAAATTACATGTAGGGCTACTTTAAAGATTGCATTTAAAAAATAAAGATTATATTTGTGGAAATTACACAATCTAATAGATTTAGAGATCTCATTTCATAAATCATAGGTTAAGTTTGCTATTTCAAAAATCAAATATTTATTAATTAATTAATCTATTTTAAATATTAATAATTATATTACAAAATTAAATATACATATTCATCCTACCAAACCCTAAATTTATCTTCATTCAGTACTTGCATTTTCTCTCTCTATTTCTCACCTTCCCGTCGTCTTTATTCTTTTCATTTTCTCCCTCTATCTCACCTCCAGTTACAAAACTGCCCACCACCCCTTCCTCCAAATTCAAATCATTTCCGTCTGTTTCCAAGGTTCAAATCTTGAAAATCACATTTCTCAACTCTTCGCCTACTATTCTCACCAACGCCATGTTTCTTGTGACCTTTCACTCAATACTAGAATCAAAATTGAAACATAGCATTTGAGGTTGCATGAATCGAGGATACACAACAGAAGGAATTGTTCTATTTCCAAACTTCACCTTCAACAAGCGTAGATTTATTTCAAAAATTTTCTTGAATCACGTGTCTTTCTTGTAAACCTCCAACTCTCGAATTCTCCCTTGAGTCCTCTCTCCGTTCAATTGCTTTGCCATCATCGTTCGACACTCCTTGGTTAGGCTTCGGGGCTTTTTGCAGGGATCTCGAACTCAAGGGAAAATGGTGTGGTTGTGGTGTTGAGGTAAATCAAAATTTTGATGCTTTGGGTGTGGCGGCGACGGTGGTGCTACTGTGATACTGTGGGTAAGGCAGTGATGGTTGTAGCACATGACAGTTTTGGTGGCATTTCGGTTGATGACAATGGTGAGGTGGTTGTCATAAGTGTTGGTGGTGGTCACAACTTATTTGGTTGACTATAACCATTAAATTGTTTAATCTGTGACCAATAAATAATATGTGACCAATAAAAAATATAAATTGTGACTAAGAAATAATGTGTGACCTAATAAATTGTTAATTTGTTATCGATAATTTGATAATTTGTGACTGTATAATAAGTTGTGACTTATAATATTTGTGATTTATGAATAATAAATAAATCATGACTTATAATTTTTTTTGATTTCTAACTAATGAATAAACTTTGACCTATAAAATTTTTGGATTGTGACCATAAAATAATTTATGACATAAAATTCTGATTTGTGATCGAAAAATAATAAGTGACTAACTAAATCGTTAATTTGTGACCAAATTATATAGATATGTGATCTAAATATATGTAATTAATAAATTAATTAAATCATAAATAAATTTTAATAAAATTTTGATATTTGAAGTTTAAAACTTGTTTTCTTGATTTTGAAATGTGTGATACTCAAACTCGTACTTATGGATTTTTTTTCCATTATAGTTTATTTGACCTTTATTTTACTGTTTCAGCTGTTATATTTGACTTCTTCTCTCAAGGTGAACTCCACTTTTCTCCTAACGGTCAAAAAATCAATTCTCAAAATCACTCCCAAACAGGCTCTATATGAACTTTTGGGCATGTTGATGAGTTGGCCAGAAATTGCTTCATATTGCTTCGTGTAGATGACGCATTTTATGTTGGAATTATAATTGTTTGGATTAGTGGCATTTTAAAATTTTTCAATATTTCTAGACTTGGCTTGCGTCGGATCTTTTATCTCTATATAACTTTTTCCCTCTATATTGATGTCCTTAATCAATCAAACAAATAAATGGTGAGCGACTTTTCTCACATCCTTTGATTTATTTATGAATTGAACTTCACTATACTAAATTAATTAATTGAGTGAATAAATTTCCACTTCAAATAATACATCCTAAATATAAATTCACCTTCATTTGCTCATATATCTTTTGAATTTTGCCTTATTTAATCGAATTAGTACAATTACATTTCTATATATATATATATATATATATATATTCTAAAACTTAATTAATTATCTACGCACACCCCAAACCCTAATATTTGTTCTTTCTCCCTCAATCCATTCTCTCTTTACTCTACCTTTTATTCTCTCTATCTCATCGTCATCACCCATGAAGACATCAGAGAGGAGGTGGAAGGGAGTCGAAAACAAAAGAGAGCAGCAATGCAACGTAGGGGCAAGGCCACATACAACTGTCGACAAGGCTTCTCTCTATTTGCTAGCGATATGCAGTGGTGAATGTTTTTTGGTTTGAATAGAAGTGTTGGTGGAGGCTAATGAAGTGGCAAGAGAGTTTGTGGTTTGAGTATAAGTATTGGTGTTGTGGTGGTGTGGGTGTTGGTGTCGTGGTGGTGTGGGTGTTTGTGCTGTAGTGGTTGTGGTGGTTAAAGCTATGGTGGTGGTGGTGGTGGTGGCTGCGACAACTGTGTTGGTGATGTCGGGGCGATGTTGCTGCTAGTGGTTAGCAGTGATGCGATGGTTTAGGATGGTGGGATGGAATGTAGGTGTTTGGTGGTGTTGTGGTGGTAGTATTGGTGTTTGTGTTGGTAGTGTTTAAAGCTATGGTAGTGGTGGTGGTAATTGCGATTGTTGCGACGACGATGGTGATGGCTACTATTACGATGATGGTGGTCGTGATGTCGAAGATGCTGGTAGAGTCGGGGCAGCAAATGGCGATGGTTAGTGGTGGTGAAATTGATTAGTGTTGTGCGATGGGATGTGGGTGCTTGTGACCATTTATTTGGTTGATTGTAACTTATAAATTGGTTAATTTGTAATCAATAAATAATATGTGACTTGAAAAATATGATCGTGAGCCACAACTTGCATCCAATTAATTTGATAATATGTGATCTAAAAATTTAAGTCGTGACATATAAAATTTGTGATCGATAAGTAAATTATGACATAATTTTTTGATCTGTAAACGATGAATAAATATTGATCTATAAAATTTTGATTTGTGATTGTGAATAATTTGTGACCTATAACTTTTTTATTTTTGATCGAAAAATAATTTGCGACCAATTGATTCAATAATTTGTAATCAAATATTATATAATCGTGAGTTTAATATATTTAATTAATAAAATATATATTTAATTAATTATTTCATAAATAAATTTTAATTAATATTTGATTTTTTGAAGTTTTAAACCTTGTTTCTTATTTTTGAAACAAGTCATATTTAATCTTTTAGCTATGGAATTTAAAAAAGAAAAAGAAAAAGAAAATAAAAAAGGCCAAAACTATGATCTCCTTCACTACACAACTCAGGCCTCATAGGCAGTGATCTTATTGTCGGCCAACTTGTAACTTTTGACGGTGCCAACACAGGCAACCGCGCTTGCTCGTCGTTGCTAGTTCCGCCACTGCTCACTACCACCCATCAACACCAACTAATCATTTCACCACCACCACCATCATCATCACAGAATTTCACTCTGTTTCACCACTACCAACAATAAATCAATCATTATTAACCCCCAAAAAAAAAGAAAAAAAATTCACCAAACATGAAAAGTAATTCAAAGAAATTAAGAAAAAAAAAATTCTTTGAACCACTATTACTTTACATTGCCCACTGGTGTGACACTTTTCCCCGATCCTTATGGCATGTAGAAGAGCTGCTGACTGTACTAGTGGAATGGACCATGCTTGAGGTACAAGCCCCCCCCCCCTCCCCGGCCTCCGATGGAGCACTCACAACATGGGGTGAGTGGGTGGAATTTTTTGCAATTTTTTAAACATGTGGGTTCACATGGGACCCACCTACTATGAGGATTGGTAGGGTTCGTAAAACAGCAAAATACGTAGTGGAATTTAGTGCATTTTAAAGGTTTTTAAATATACAACACTAAATAAATATGGACCCTTTAATTTTGAGATATTTACACTATTAATTCAATTATTTTGTTTTGAAACTCGTCGATTATTGAAATATTGGACTATGACTTTTCCTTTTAGGCATTTTATAGGTGTTGCGTGATTGGAGCTATTTTTTTCAGTGAAATTTTGCCATTCGTGAAAAAATTTTGTGAGCCGTACCTGTACGTGTAGCATTGTTCTAAAATATTTTACTCGAAAACTCTACGTAGAACAATTTAAAGTACACAACCAACAAACTATTCAAGTCACTCTCCCTTATACTTAACTTTATTAATTAATAACGTATAACTGAAATAAAAAAACGAAAAGAAATACTATTAATTAGAATTCACTTTCGTGATTTGCATGTAAACCTTGACAATAATCGATTCGTCTGAAAAATAATAATGACATTTTCTCCATTATATCATTTTCTAATCATCACAAACCTTCAAAAGTAAATACCTACTCATTATCCTATTCAAATTATCTTGTCACACGACTCACATCATTATTTTGTAGTAACAATTATTTAATAAATATTTAAATACAGAAAAAGATATTGGATTGAAATTTAATAGAGTTTATCTTATTATTATCCATTTACATTTTCCTTTTATGGCTGACGTGTACGTACCTTTAAAGAATTAATTTATTCTAAACGGCCCAGACATCTCTGGGTTTGTTAAGAAGAGCCTATGTTTGCTCGCCACGTTATCTTTTGTCCTTTTCAATGATTTATTCTTTCGTGCTGGTGCCATGTTACTGTTATTAGTCATGTCTGCTAAGGGGCCTACATCCCATTTCTTTTGTTTTTGGGGCCCTCAACTTTTCAATATTCTAATTGTTGCCTAACTTTGAACGGATGTGCTCTATGTAATTTATCCTCAATTTAGTGCAATTATATCATTGAGTTTCTATTGCTTATAGATTTAATTATTTATCCTCAAATTGGTCCTGTCTATTTCCAATTTTTCTTCCCAATTATAATCCATTTTCCCACTGTTGCAGGACAGGCAACCGTAATTGTTAACTTCTTCCCTCATACTGAATTCCACGTTGCTGACAAAAAAGAGCAAAAAAATGAATTCTTTTCTTCCAACAATTGAAAACAAACAAGGGTTTGATGTAATCAATTAACCCAACTACAATGAGTCTAATATAGCAGTGTCTAGTGCTTCTTTGTGATAAGAACTAGTGTTAATGGGGTTGATATTTGTAGAGTTCGATTTGACTATAGTTCCGTGAAGTTCATACCATCAACGAATTTTAATTTTTACCTTTCAATGATTAGGATAATCCGTATCCACCTCTATGACTTCTAGTTAACTGTCTGCTTGATCGATTTTATGATAGCTTTCAATTTAACTGGTTTTAGCTCATTCTCGAATCGATTTTTGGTCCTGTTCTCATTAAACTTGTTGTTCTGATTAGTCCTGTAAGATTTTCATAGAACTGTTAGTAATTACCTTTTAGTAGGCCTAGTATTTCTACAATTGAAATTGCTTCTTTATCTCTTCATGTTAAAAAAAAAGATTTTTTTTAGATCTGATTGGGAAATTAACAACCAAGAAATCTAGTAAGCGGGATCAAGAAGTTAACGAAAAATTTAACGCATCTTCTCTTTGGCAAAGAGAAATTTTACCCCAAAGCAAGTTCGCCACCAACCATAGCAGCACCATCTACTAAAATTGGTTGAAAAAGTGGATATAGAGGGAAAAAAAAAGTTGAAAGTTGCTAATTAGCTGCAGATACTTTTTGGTAGTTTAACTTCCAATTTCACTGAAATAATTTTAAATTAAGTGAAAACTGAGCCAAATTAAAATAATTTATTTTTAATCAAAGTGGTTGCACCCGTAAAGGAAATAGTCAAGAAAACTGTAATTTTTTTTACATATAAATATTTTTTAAATAATTAATATTTGGAATTATAATGACTTTTGTTATGGACATGATTTGTTCTTATCACCATCTGAGTCAGCACTACAAATTGTGTCCCACTTGTTACATTTATTCTTCACATAGCATATGGGCCCCACTATTTGTTCAAACATTTGCCTATATATCCACAACGATTGAGAATGGATAAATCAGCAAAACAATTTTTCCCATTTTCGCAGCTCAATACAGCTACAAAGTAACTATCAAAAATTCCTTTTTCCTTTTGTTTCTTAAAGAAAAATCCTGAAGAATCAACCATCTTTCGGTAAGCAAAAAGCCCTTTAAATGCTGTTATTTATCCGTTTCTTTCTATTCTGTTGGTGGCCATGCGTGTGTGTGATTTTATTTATTTATTTATTTTTGAAATTGGGTTACACAATGGTGTGAATTTGGATTCGATTGTTTTTAGGAATTTGATTGAATTCAGAAGAAATTTCGAATTGTAATTGAGAAACTTCACTGTAAACGAAGAAAAACGGAGCATCAATTTGAGTTTATTTGTGGATTTTTAGGGGCATATTCAACGTTTTTAATTAATATGAAGCTGCCGGCTTTCTAATCTGAAGCTTTAAAATTACTTTTATAATGGAAGAAGAACCTCTTTATTTATAAAAAGCCACAGCCACCGCCACCGTCACCGCCGGCTTTGCCGTGTCATGAATTGACTTTAAAAGATTCCACTTAACTTATTTGAAAATAAGTAACTTACTTCGTTACAATGCTGAATCATTTTCCTGATATTGAATTTTAAATTTTTTCCTTCAGATTCATAAAAATGAGGGCTAGTCGAAAATCGGAGGCAGATTTAATCAGCAATCTGCCTGGCAGTATTATAGAGAATATTCTGGGATGTTTGCCATTGCGAGACGCAGTGAGGACCAGTATACTATCTAGAGAATGGAGGTACAAATGGGTAACATGTCCCTATCTCGTATTTGATTTTTGGTTCGATCAAATGTTTCTTGGAAACCACAAACTCGAAACACTCGTATACACAATTCTTAAATTTCATCAGGGACCCTTACTTAAGTTTGCCCTCCAAGCCCCCGATTTCCAAAGTAGTCCTGATATCGATCGGTGGATCGATCTCTTGCCGAATGACAATATCCAGGATTTCACACTTCATATTTCTCGGGGAGACAACCATAGATTGCCTTCTCAACTATTTGCTTTTCACCAGTTAAGGAATTTGAAACTCTATAAATGTGCTTTTGATCCTCCTTCGACGTTCAGAGGATTCAATAAGCTCGTGAATCTTGATCTTCAGGATGTTGTGTTTGCCCCGGAAACATTTGGAAATTTCGTTTCTTGTTGCACGTCTCTTGAACGATTGAGGTTGATGGAGTGTAGCAGTCTTGATTGCATTGAAATTGATGCCCCGAAATTGAAATTTTTCGAGTTCCATGGGGTATTTAGATCCATTTCTTTCAAACATAGTCCCCTTCTTGCAGAAGTTTTGATATCTTTCTCGTCAATGGATTTTGTAAGGGAAGATCGTTTCTCCTTTGATCTGATAAAGTCGCTAAGTTGTCTTCCTGAGCTTGAGGATCTGCATCTGCAGGCTTATGTGTTGGAGGTAAGAAAATTGACATATATTGAGTCGACTTGGAAGCTACTTTTTTACTTATAAGTAAACTTTTTAAATGATATGCTGCTGAAGTTTTCTTTGAAAAAATTTCAGGGACTTGCAGAGTATGGTGCACCTAAAAAACTTCCAGTTACTTTGAAAACTCTGAAAACTCTTCACCTCTCAGATATGTATTTCGAAAAGATAGATGAAATCTCCTGCGCATTGTGCTTGATCAGAAGCTCTCCTAGTTTACAAAAGCTTGAAATTACCGTAAGTCATTATCCGACTCTCTTGTTTGGCTTCCTTTGGTCGAAAAACAGATTAATGAAATGAAGCTATTTCTTCAGGCATTCACCTTTGACGTCGTGGAAGCTGTTGCAGAATTTCTCCGATCTCAGAAAAGCTCGGATTGCTCGTTGACTCATCTCAAGACGGTTAATATGCAACTATTCTCAGGGGCCGAGTCTGAAATGGAATTCGTGAAGTATCTTTTGGCATCTGCAACTGCACTCGAGGAAATGGCAATCTCGCCTCACGCTGGAAATGTTTCAGATGGAGGTGAATCGATTTTGAACAAACTTAAACAATTTCCTCGAGCATCCCCGCGAGCAGAAATAGTTAATTCAGAAAAGAAATAACCAGCCAAAAGGATTTATCCCCATTATTTAAGCTGTTAATCTGTTTGTATATGTAATTATTGTATGTTAGTAGTTTTTTCCTGCTAGATTCTTTATGTGAATTCTAGCAAATTTTGGGTTTATAGCCTTGTTTTTATGGCTGTAAACGGAAGTATTTGTAAATTTCAAGATTCAATGTTAAGAATGTCAGGAATATTATCAAGAATGGCATGAATATCATGGATTTTCATTTTCTTGTGTGATGATGATAAGCATAATGAATGGTTTTTATTTAATTTAGGCAAATTTATCTATATTTTATTTTATTTATAACTAGTTTAATCTTTAATTATATATTAAGACTTCCAGTTTTTGCAATTATCATTTAATTTTTTTATTATCTAGATTTAATCATTATCTAAAGTTAAGTTGTTATACAGATTTTTGTTATTGATTTAAGGTTGTAAGTATTGATGGCAAGTAAGTGGTTTTTGAATTGAAATAAAATAGATTTTTGAGTTTTTCAATCTCTATAAATTCTCGATATTTAATATTTAAAATCAACAAGTTTAAATTTCATATATTCGTGCACAAATTAAAGAATTTTTTATGCTTAGATTTTTGACTGCGTGTTTATTCATCGTTTCATGGCTTCGTCCTTACATCATTTGGTTTCAATGTGATGTTCATTTCTGATAAAGACGTGTCGTTCATAAAGTTTAGTGCCAAGACTTTTGTTTTGGGATGGAACCATTTTTGCTCCTTTTCAGAGTTAAGTCGTTATACAGATTTTTGTTATTGATTTAAGGTTGTAAATATTGATGGCAAGTATGTGGCTTTTGAATTGGAATAAAATGGATTTTGGAGTTTTTCAATATCATAAATTCTCGATACTTAATATTTAAAATCAACAAGTTTAAATTTCATATATTCGTGCACAAATTAAAGAATTTTTTATGCTTAGATTTTTGACTGCGTGTTTATTCATCGTTTCATGGCTTCGTCCTTACATCATTTGGTTTCAATGTGATATTCATTTCTGATAAAGACGTGTCGTTCATAAAGTTTAGTGCCAAGACTTTTGTTTTGGGATGGAACCATTTTTGCTCCTTTTCAATGATTCAAATGTGGAAGAATCATTGGATTTTAGTTACAATGGTCTCCAATCTGTTATGAAAAAAATTGAAGAATGTGTGGATTGAGATAATGAAGGTTATGATGGCATTTCAATCTTGCATGAGAAGTCCAATTCCAAGATTTCGGAGAGTGGTCCAACAAACTGGACATAAACACCAAGATGACAATATAATGAATGAGGTGGACAATTTGCTCTTGTTCCTTGGCCTATTGGGACACATTCAGCGATTTACCTCCCTCACAAAGTTCTAGGGGTGGGGCAGTGGAGGTTCTCAAGATTGGGGTCCAAATTTTTTTTTTTTTTTTTTTTTTAAATGAATGAGGTGGACAAGTCCCATAAAGCAACTCAAACATTGTCAATTTCGAAACTTCATATAGAGTTTGCAGTCACTGGGCCTGAAAAGGATTGGTGAGTGGTCCAGTATTTTGTAATCAGGAGATTTTAAGGAAGAGTGTATTTATGGAACTTCTGATATTGAAGCAAGAGAAAGCAAATTCAATTTTGCTATATTGTTAGGGAGGATTTGACACCTTTATTGACAAACTCCTCACGAAATGGAAGGATTTTTTTTGGCTTTTTTATTCACATGGGTCTCACTCTCATGTGAGTATAGGTCAACAAGGATGCCATTTTTTCTCTGGCGAAAAAGTTAAATTCAAGCAATTTTGCTTTATAGACCCTAGATGATGGAAAGACTTTAATTGCTAAATACTTTGCAAATAAAAGAGGTAAGTTATTCTTCTTGTAAAATGCCTCTAAAATTACTTTCAACTTGATTGGAGGAATTAAGATTAGTTTTGGGGAAAGTAAGATTAGTTTTGGGATTGCACTTGAAGGGACTAAGATGAATGCATCATCATCAATTTTGTTTATTGAGAAAACTGGTTCCACATGCAAGGTTCGAGGAAGAATCTTCGACAATCAAAGTAGAATGGTGAAAATTGAATATGATTGATTTCAATTTCATTTAGATAATTTTATCTATATACTATATTTTATTTTTAACTATTTTAGTCTTTAATTATGAACTATGACTTTTAATTTCTATAATTATCTTTTGACTTTTGTCATTATCTAGAGTTTAGTCGTTATTCAAATTTCAGTTTTTACTTTAAATCTGATTTGTAAGTCTTCATGGCAATTAAGTGATTTTTGAATTAAAATAAAATAGGGTTTGGAGTTTTCCAATCTCTTAAATTATCAGTATTTGATATTTAAAATTAGCGCAAATTCTATCTATTCCTACACGAATCAAGGAATTTTTGATGCCTAGATTTTTTTGGTATTCTTATGACTCAATAAAACTAGAATGTGATCTCTTTCGAATCAACAAAATTTCGATAAAGCATTTATATATTGTTTCCACGCTTCCATTGTTATAGTTCCCATTGCAAAATATGGAACTTGAATCTCACATTGAAAGTATTTACTTTTGGTGTGTGGTTTATAGCGATTTGCAACAATTAGCTTTTAAGGTATAATTCTTCCAAAATCTATATCAACGGCATTAGAGCAAGCACCATGTCTTCTTATTGCAATCGAGTGGCACAAATGGTGACGTCGGCATAGTAGTATTCGTTGGGGACTAGTCATAGCTAGTGCAAAATCAGTCCGATGTGAGTGTGAGGATCGCTAAGTGTGGTGAATTATCATGATTCTTATTGCAAGGTATATGACTTGAATTTCACATCGAAAGTATGGATTTTTGGTGTGTGATTTATATAGTTTTGAACTCTCCAACTTTAATGACTAGCTTTTGAGGTATGACTCTTCCAAAATTTATATCATCCACACAACATCACACATGAATCTAGGGAAGAAGTACAAAAGATGAATAAAATGCCAAAAACTCATAAAACTCACGAATATTTGAGAGTTAGGAATTAAAAATTTGTAGATTTGTGATAAATGTTGAATAAAAGGGAAATTCACATTTAGGTTGAATTTATAATTTGCTTTGTGTACATTGTAAATTTACATTTTCTATATTTTGTTTATGGATAACAAAGAACACATTTTGAAGGGAAAATAATAAAACTTTGCGAAGTAGTTAGCATAAATGGTATACAGACCAAAGTGTAACAAATCACACACAGTGATGTAGAATCTACAAACACACGACAACAATAACCAAACGGATTGAATTCAGAAACAAACTTTTATTATTTCGTGAATAACCAAGAAAACCCTAGGATGCGTCTTGCAGCGTCTTAAATATGAAAGAAAAGATAACCTACTGGGCCAGCAGTTCCAAAATGGGCTGGGCTACAAAATGGAAATAACAAATGCTGAAAATAAATAACACAAAAACTTAAAATGCTGTTTTGACACACTAAACGACTTCAAATGCCCAAAAACCCTCGTACATCACAGCAAAGCGGTGAGTTCAATCCGAAACGCTCGCTACCTTTCCGAAATGGGGTTATGGGCCCAAAACGGATACCAAACGCAAAAGTTACATCAATTTCTTTGAAAGCCGACAATCCAACCGTTCCATGTATGCCAATGCCTATTCCTCCACATAAACCTCATCATTCTCCCCGAGATCAATGGGATTCACCCTCGAATCAGAACCGGTAGCACTATTTCCCACGTTGTCTCCATGGTATGGCAAAAGATGCTTTACATTAAACACATCAGAAGTCCGTATATGGGAAGGAAGTCGAAGGCGATAGGCGTTGGGGTTGATCTTCTCCACAATTTCCACTGGACCAATGGTATGAGGTGATAACTTCGAATGCTCATGAGATGGCACTCGATCCTTAGTCAGTACCACCCAAACATAATCCCCAACGTCAAACTCAACAGGACGTCGATGCCAATCAGCCGCCTCTTTATACTTACTGTTGGACTCTAGCAGATTAGCTAGTGTTTTCTCGTGAACTTGTTGCAAATACGAACAAAGTCAACAGCTGTCCCATGCAGCCGAGTCTTAGAGGGCAGAGTCAATAAATCAACAGGGCTACGGGACAGAATACTATACACAACCTGGAACGGACTAAAATCGGTGCTTCTATTTCTAGCATGATTATACGCAAACTCTGCCTGGCTAAGCCGCTAATCCCATGAGCGTAGATTATCCCCAACCAAGCACCGCAACAAGTCACCCAAAGAACGATTAACTACCTCTGTTTGCCCATCAGTTTGAGGGTGATAAGCACTACTAAAATTGAGCGACGTGTTAACTGACTTCCATAAACTCCGCCAAAAGTGACCGATGAACCTCGTGTCTCTGTCAGACACGATGGAAGTGGACAACCCATGCAACCGATAAATCTCTCTGAAAAATAGCTGAGAAACCTTGACGGCATCAGTGGTGCGCTTGCAGCGAATGAAGTTCACCATTTTAGAAAAACGATCTACGACCACAAAGATGGAATCATTACCACGTTGTGTGCGCGGTAAACCCAGGACAAAATCCATGCTAATATCAGTCCACGGAGCTGAAGGCACTGGTAAGGGTCAATAAAGACCAGCATTTGTGGCTTTCCCCTTTGCCACGTGCACACCCTGCATCGTGAGACAAACTTCTCCACTTCACGATGCATAGTAGGCCAGAAAAATGAAGCGCTAATCAAAGCCAAAGTACGATCTCGCCCAACATGACCTTCACCATGAAACTC